TATGCTTTCTTTTAAGGGTTAATTATCCTTTTGCCCTCAGTGGTGTTCATGTACTCAGTTTTGCCCTCAGATGCGAATTGTGCTCAGTTTTGCCTCTGGTCCGTGCGCACCGACTCGTTCCGTGAACTCTGCCGTCTCCGTCAGGTCAACCTTTTGACTCGGCCCTTACAGGTGGGACCAGGCGGCAGAGACGGCCAATTTTATTCAGACCGTTGCACGGGTGTGCTATATAAGCGGGCGACAGCTGCGGTGACCACGGCGACAGAGAGCACGACGGTGACCACGGCGAGAGAGAGAGCACGGCGGCGGGAAGCTAGCTGTGGAGGGCGCGGCGGTGGGAAGCTAGCAGTGGAGGGCGCGGCGGCGTTGAGATCCCCTTCGGCTCTGAGCTCCATGTCTTCCTCAAGCTCCCACGCCACCTCGCGGATGCAGAGCCGGGCGTGTGTGGACATGCCTGTCTTCGTCTGTCCGCGGTGCCGGGCGGGCGTTGATCGGAGGGTTTCTTAGACATCGAGGAACCAGAATCGTCCGTTCTACGTGTGCAGCGAGAATGGGGTAAGAATCGGGGCAATTGCACCATTTTTGTGGTCGGGATCTTTGAGCAATGGGTTGATCTGTTTGGTGTTCATGCAGGTGACATGCTTCTTTCTTTGGGTCGATGCTCTGGCCAAGACTCTGATGAATGAACTGCAAGAAGAGCATGAAGAATGGTTGCGCATGCTGCCACGAACGACAGTGGCCGCACCACGAGCTCCGGAAGAAGAGATGGAGGGCGAAGCACGCACTGACAGAGAGCTAGCTGTTGAGCTTAGGATGTTGAAGAAGAAGGTTAGGAAGCTTGAAGATCAAGCACTACCAATACCCATTTGCAAATACTTTTGGACATTTATAGGTATGGTAATCGCACTGGTTGTAATGTTGAAAATGTATGGAAAGGCATGAATTATGGAGGAATTTGTAATCTTGAAATTCACCTAGTTTAAATATTGGTTAAAGTTGTTTAAATGTTGAAACAAAAAGAGAAGAAGTGACCAACATTTAAATATGTTGGGAAAAAAAGAAGAAATTAGGAATTCAGAAACTTTTGATCAATGAAATGCAGCTCTCTGCTCTGCCTTTCTGTCCAAAAAAAGGTTGCTCTTGGGCCAAATTCAGAGCATAGAGCCAAGTGCAGGCTAGACTAATGGGCCAACTACATCCAATTAGGCCCATTCAGGGGTTCTCTTGCATATGTTTCTGTTTTCTATTCTGATTTAATTTAGGCAGTAAATCATAATGCTGCAACTTTTTGTGGAAGCTAATTGAATTATTCCGAAGCCAAACAATTAAGGTTAGAAATTTTTTGGAGCTGTTAATTAATCCAATTCAAATACACCGTGATTTAAATCAAAGACCAAAATGTCATGAAAAATGTGCCTCAGCTCTGGTAGAGGTTTACGCTAGGTGCCAAAATAAATGAACATTTTTTAAGGGCATTACATTGAGAAAAACATAATTTGTCTAAAAAATGAAGGGTGGAAAATGCACAAAAAATTGGTGCGGCTGGGGACTCGAACCCAGGACCGCGTGGGTTTGTGGTGTTTAGGGCTACGCTGGTAACCGCTAGGACAGATGGCAAGACTTTGACATGGGTAGGGAAGGAAGGTATACATAGTGAGATTGTGAATTTTTTTTAAAAAAAAATAGTGAGACCGTGAATGTTTGCACACGCGTGAGAGTGGTTTTCCATTGTTTTGCACTTAAATTTTGGAGGGTTGGAAGGTTGAAAATGTATGTTGCACTACCACATGATTTTGGTCAGAGTGGCACTTGGTTTAGGGTTAGAGTGGCACATGATTTAGGATTTAAAGGGAATAAATTTGCATGTTAGTTCATGACTTTTTGTTTGAATGAAACAGAGGGCTTCTCATCCCCTCCGATTTTCATTAATGAAAACCACAAGTTCTCGAACTTCATGACTTGTTTAGGAAAGAAATGATATGTTTGGGACATTTTTTAACACATATAATAAACCCTAATAACTTAGATAAGATGGAACACACCGTACCATTGCAATAACTTAGATAAGTTCACAGACAGTTCACAGACACATGACGAAACATGACACGACATAGAAAAGCAACAAAATAAAAAACGAAACATGACGAGCTTGACTCCGGGCTTGAACATCTTCATCTTGACCTTCTTCTTCCACCTTGGCCGCGCGCGCCCCTTCAACACTGTCTTCATCTTCACACCTCCTCCTCGTCGTCGTAGGGAAGGGAGTGCATCTGGCCCGGAGCGGGGAAGATGCGCTCGTAGTTGGTGTAGATGTTGTAGATGGTGAAGAAGATGGCCTCGCAGCCGCACCAAAAGACTTGGCCGAGGAGCTCGCGCGCGTCAAACGGGTTGGTGAAGGTGACCGTGAGCAGTAGGAGGATGCCGCCGCGGTCATGAACCTCGTTGAGGGTGAACATCCTCGGCGAGCCCCGTGGGAGGTGGGCATAGCCGGCTCTTAAGAAGGCGCGGGTGAGTTCGACGGAACCCCTCCACCTTGAAATAGCCCACACACAGAGCTCCCTCTCCACGACAGGCGGACGGTTGAAGGTCGGCCCATTGAACTGCATCTTCACTTGGTCTCGCCTTGGGGAGAGCTCGGTCGCTTGGGTGTTTGAAGTTGGAGAGGATCGGATCTGGCTTGTGGGTGGGAGAGGAAGAGAGGCACCCCATTTATAGGCATGTGGGTGGGAGAGGAAGAAAGAAAGGATGAGAATGGTGTGTGTGTGAATCCGGACACGTGTGTGTATCCGTTATGTTTTGCACACTTAAATTTTTGCACGAAAACGATGCATGGGGCGCGTGCGTGCATCTGAATCACTACATAGCTCTTTGACCGGGCGGTGCATGTGAATCGCTGCCCTGAACCACTGCACTGAACCACCTAGCTCGCCTAGCGCGCCTCGCTCGCCTCGCTCGCATGCATGCACGTCGTTGCCTCCATGCATGCAAGGCCTGGAAAGGCTGAGACGGGCTATTTACTGCGGTCTCAGGCCCAGACAACGAGACGGCCCAACGGTCCATCCAGCGCGCCCGGTATTTGTTAAAAAAACAATCTCCCAGCCAAACAGATTGCATCTCGCGGATCGCCCCCTCCTCCCCGCAGATTCCTTCTAGAAGGGTTAGATCGATGGCCCTTGATTGCCGCTAGGGTTAGATGAACGGTCCTTGTTTAGCGCTAGGGTTAGCGGGGTTTGGGAGGGGTTTGGAGCAGTCAAAGCTATGTTTGACCAGATTTCAAATGAGCATAATAAATTAAATAAAAATCAGAAAAATAAAAAACATGTGCACATAGTCTTCTTATGTCATATACTAACGATTTAAGTTGATAAACAAGCTTTACATACATTTAAATGATAAGTTCATGTGTATTGTATGATATCTCGAGTATCTCAAACTCTCTTGTATGAAGTGAAGAGAAGTGTTTTGGGGAAATGAACATGAAAATTTCAAAAAACTAACCAGACCTTCATTTTGGAGTGACTAAGAAGGATCCAGGCTTAGTTTTTCATTTTGATGTTTTACACTTGTTTAAATCTTGGTCAAAGTTAAGTTTGGCCAGAATTCAAATGAGCAAAACAAATTAAAAAAAATCAAAAAATGGAAAAACCAGCGCACATAGTCTGTACGTATAGAATATATGTGTAGGAAAGTTATTTGGCTGATTTAGACAAGGTAGAAAAAAACTTTGCTTAGAAATGAGGTCGTTTACCCTACCTTTGGACCCCTCTTTTTAGCACATTTTTCATGAAAAATTCAAAAAGCTCACCACAACTTCATTTTGGATTGACTAAGAAGTATCCGGGCTTAGTTTTTCATTTTGATGTTTTAGACTTGTTTAAATCTTGGTCAAAGTTAGGTTTGACTAGAATTTAAATGAGCAAAACAAAATTCAAAAAAATCAAAAAAAGAAAAAACCATGTGCTCATTCAAACATCATCCAACAGATATTTAAACATCATGTCAAACATACTTCTAACATTGGTCCAACATCATCCAACAGAAATACAACATGTCAAGTAACAAATGTTTCATAATACAACATCATCCCTTATTCATAATGTTTCATAATTATTCATAATAGCGTTGGGGCTTCTGTCTATTCCTTGAGCTTCTTGCCATCACTTTGCTCCTCGTGCACCTTGTGCTCATTGTTTTTTCTCTTCTTCTCTTGGTTGTCGGTACCTTGTGCGTCTTCTTCAAACCTACCATAGAGCTGTGCAAAACATAAATGGTAATGAGATAATGTCAAGTGATAGATGTACGATAGTATTTGACCCTTGCAAGATTTACATACCTAGCAGAACTCACAACAACAGAAGGTTGGTCACCATTTGGAGCCTCACTTGGATCATCATTTGGAGCCTCACTTGGATCACCATGATCACCATTTAGAGCCTCACTTGGATCATCATTTGGAGCCTCACTTGGATCATCATGATCACCATTTAGAGCCTCACTTGGATCATCATTTGGAGCCTCACTTGAATCATTATTTGGAGGATATTTTGGATCATCGTCAAAATCATGCGGCTGTTGACCATCATCATTTGGAACCTCGTCAAAATCCTCATCTGATGCAACCGGCTATTGACCATCATTTTCATCATCTATTGAGACAACCGACTGCTAACCAACATTTTCATCGAAACCTTCATCGAAACTCTCTCCGAAAGCTGGATCTACTGTGTTATCACAATACTTACCAAAATGACCAGACCCACCACACCTTGTGCACTTACGCTTCCTCGCTCCAAGTCCAGCTCCTTCGCTGCGAGGTCTGATTCGACTCTTCCTTGGTCTACCTGTTGCTCTCTTCAGAATTGGAGCGCAAAGCTTGAATCCAGGGTCCACCATGTCCCATTGTTGTTTTCCCTCCATAGCAGGCAAGGCATAAGCATATGTGGCTTTGAACCTTGCAACAAAGTAGTAATCATGCACATACTGTTGTATGTTCCCTGCTGGACCTGGGAGAGAAGTGATGAAAAACAAGGCATGAATGTATGGCAACCCAGTTATCTGCCATTGCCTACAACTGCAAGTTCTAGCTTCTAAATCTACTGGATATCTCCATTCCCTCTTCTCTTTATCCAAATATGATATCTCTGTTGTGGTACCCGAGCAAAGAGTCATGTTCATTTCCAAGCCTGTTGTCTTCTGCTTCAGTTCATTCATCACGGCAGGGATGATAATGTGGCCCATGAATTTTGCCTCGGCTATTCCTGCACGATAATGAAATTTCTGCATGTATTCTATCCTTATCCTGTCAAGCAAATCCACCACATAATGACCCTTTAGTTTCCGGATCGTTGAGTTGAAAGACTCTGCTAGATTATTGTGCACATAGTCAAGTTTGCTCACTTCACTGAATTGGCTTCTGGCCCATAACTTGGAGTGGTGTGTTTCCAAGTATTCTTTCACTTTGGGATTCATGTATAACTGCCTCAAGTGGTAGTTGTGTTTCTTCACACTGCATGTCAAAGATGCTGGCCATAAATTGTCAGTATACACCTTTCCTTTGAATTTCTTCATGAAATTTGCAGCAAGGTGACGCATGCATTCCCTATGCTCTACTCCAGGAAACACATTGTCCACGGCCACTTCTAAACCTTTGCAGGCATCTGTATGAATGACCAACCCATTGGGATGTGCAATAGCCCGGCGGAGATTATGCAAAAACCAAGTCCAGCTCTCCTCAGACTCTGTCTCAAGTACACCATAGGCAACTGGAAATACAAAACTATGTGCATCAACTTCACAAGCTGCTACTAACTGTCCTTTAAACCTCCCTGTGAGAAAAGTGGCATCAATAGCCAAATAAGGCCTGCAGCTTGCCAAAAAACCCCGACGACAAGCCTCAAAGCAGACAAAAACCCTCCTAAAGCATTCATTGGTCTTTGTCACTCCCCTGAATGTGTACTCCACGGTGTGGTGATCAATATCTACAATACTACCTGGGCTTGTCCTCTCCACTTCACCTTTGAATGAATACAACAATTGAAAACTTTCCTGCCAGTTACCATAAATAGAATCCATAGCATGTTGTTTACCATTGAACAATCTCATATATGGTAAATCTATCTTGAACTTATCTTTGATGTTCTTCTGCAATTCCTTTGGACCCACTTGCTGGTTTTCTTTCACCCACTTCTTTACTTCTTCTGCCACCCATCTTGACTTGGCTCTACTGATTCTATCCTTCCTAAGGGTTGATTCCTGGCATGTGTGCTTAAAAGGGTTCACTTTGACCTGAACATTAGTGTTATTCCGCATTTTAGATGCAAGCAGCCTCCATGGACAACCTTCAGTCGGACAGTGCACTCTGTAACGTACTTGATCACTCTTGTCAACTTTGAAAGTACGTTCTACCTTGATGCAGTATGTCACAAGTGCATTTCTACACTTTCATGGATGCAAAAATTGTACCTTCTTCCATATGAGGGTTCAAAGGGTCCCATTCAACAGCTGCAAGGTCTTCGTCCTCACCCATCGCGTCATCATCCACACGGACTGCATTGTGAGCCTCATCTTGATTTTCAGTCTGAGGTGCCCGTCGTAAATTCCGAATAACATCAGTATATAGCTTCTCTTCATCAACCCCAGAATTGGAGCCATCACGCTCCACTTAAAGGGGGACCCTACTGCTGTTGCCCACACTTGTCGAGCCACCACGTCGTTGTGCATCAACTGAACTGTTCTGACTAGAGATGCCATTACGACGACTTGGTTCTCCCCGAGATGTTGCACCCGCCATCCTAGGTCCAAATGCCTGCTCAAGCACATCAACTTGCAGCCTCACATGAAAATTATCTTTCTCTTTATGCCTAACAAACATGGTAGCTAGCTCTTCATCATTACTAACTGTCACCCAATTCTTTTCCCCATCATAGTATTTGTATACCATTTCATCAAGCAAACCCCAAGGATATTGGCTACAAATTACCTCCCCAAATTGTCTGAAACTCCAATTACTAGCCATTGGCAACCGATAATCAAAACCTCCTTGGTATTTCTTCTTATCCTTTGCATCGAACATGTACCGGTCCCTTCTAATGTGCACCATGAAAGCAAACCGCAACTCCATCCTAACCGGCGAAAAACAGAGACGCAATCAGCACACTAATTGGGCAAACCTATTCGAATCGAGTGTTCAAATGCACAACTAAGCTCAATCTAAACAAGAGGCGAGACTTACCCCTCGGGAACCCAGTCGTGGACGCGGCGGATCTCCGGCCCGATGCCTGCCTCGCCAAATACTCCGGGGTCGCCGCTGCTCACCATTTCGCCCTAGGGTTCTTCCTCCTAGTTTAAATAGCTCCAGCAGCCCCCTACCTTTGAGCGCTCCGGCCGGGCGCACGGAAGGAGGCCGCGCCGCGGATCGAGCAGGTGGCGGGCGCCCCACCCGTGGCGTCGCAGGAAGGTGGTGGGCGTCACAGTTAGCCGTGGAGCATAGGCGCAGGGAGGTAGCGGCGGAGCAGGCCGTGCAGCTGGTGGCGGGGCAGGTGCTGGCCGCGGCGCAGGTGGCGGCGGCGGCGGCGCAGGACAGCCGACCGGGCGGATGGGTGTGAGCTAGAATGATTTGGGGATTTAGTTGCACGGGCCTACATGTCAGCTCCGAACCCACGTCCACGTGGTCCCACGTGTAAGCTCCGGACCCACAACCACTAACGCCGGCGGACGGAATGGACTCAAATATGGCCGTTTGGCCTCGTCATAGTTGCTGTGCTCGGACTAGGGGCAAAACTGAGGACAATTCGCATCTAAGGGCAAAACTGAGCACATGGACACTACTGAGGGCAAAAGGATAATTAACCCTTCTTTTAATAGAATGTACTGTCGGGTCTCCCCTACAGTTTCCGGTAAAAACAAGGTCTCTAGTACTTCATAGTGTCACATCCTTTCATTTTCTTTTTAATCTTTCTCAGAGGGACAGTAGAAATGGCATGTTCGTTCTATGATAAAAGAGTGGATGGTGATAAGACACTCATTCTATATAACACAATAATGTAGATGCTACTGCTACTTCTTGAAATTTCAGGAAAGAGCAGACGGTAAAGACACTATCGGTGTAATTGAGGCATCACGCCAATCAGATTTGCTGATCGAGTTGATCAGGAAATTGAAGCCTCAGGTTGTTGTTGCTGGCATGGCTCAATTTGAGGCTATCACCAGTGCTGCTGTTGTGAATTTACTAAGCGCAACGAAAGATGTTGGTTCTCGGTTACTCCTAGATATATCAGAGCATCTGGAGTTGTCTAGTCTGCCAAGATCTAATGGTGTATTGAAATATCTTGCTGGAAACTCCCTACCTTCCCATACAGCTATACTGTGCAGTTTAGTAAAGAATCAGGTAACCGTAACTTAACCACATCATTTGATTTCCATTGAATGGAACTGTATTTGAACTTCTGCGCATACTTACATATATGCTTAAATCAATTTCCAGATGTTTTCATTTGCATTTGCTTTATCTTATTTTCGATTAAAACTTTCAGGTATATCCTGATCTGGAAGTTGCTTTTGTCATTTCTGAAGATGGAGCTGTCTGCAAGGCACTATCACAAACTATTGAACTATTGGAAGGGCGTACCTCTGTAATCAGCCAGAACTATTATGGCTGTCTTGTCCATGAGCTGCTGGCTTTTCAAATTGGTGAGAGGCATCGGCAACAAAAAGTAAACAGGATTAGCCATCTCTTAGTTTGATAACACCTAGTCAGGAGGACCAGCTAAATGTATTAATGGGAATGCTTGGTTTATAATTTCCATCTTTATTTCTTATTTGGCGTAGAATTAATGTGGAATGACCTACGGGATATCCCACTTCAGAAAATGGGGACCTATGGAATATTGTGTGACCTGTGTTTTCTTTTCTTTTATCTTTTTCAAGAGACGACCTGCAGAAGTGATACCTGAGAAGATGATAGGATTTTCAAATTCAGCTATCTCTATCCTAAAAGAAGCTGACTTTTTTGTTCCTGATTCCAAGGAATCTGGCGTCATTCATATGGATTTAGATCGTAGCTTCTTGCCAGTACCTTCTGCAATGAAAGCCTCCATTTTTGAAAGTTTTGTTAGGCAGAACGTCACTGATTCTGAAACTGATGTCCGTTCCAGCATCCAACAGCTAGTGAAAGATAGCTATGGTTTCCCAACAAACTATCGTTCTGAAATTATATATGGCCACACCTCCCTTGCACTCTTCCGCAAACTTGTTCTTTGTTGCATGCAAGAAGGAGGTACTTTCCTATACCCCTTGGGCACCAATGGTCACTATGTCTCGGCAGCAAAGTTTATGAATGCACGTACGCTCACTATTCCAACAAACGTGGAATCAGGCTTCAAAATTGAACCATTGGCTCTGGCTGATGCAATTCGCAGTGTGAACGCATCTCGGTCATGGGTTTATATATCTGGTCCCACAACAAATCCTTCTGTCTTCGTGTACAGTAACAATGAGATAGAAAGTTTGCTTTCTCTTTGTGCTAGTTCTGGTCTTCTGGAGCTAGAGTAGTGATAGATACCTCTTTCTCTGGTCTGGAGTTCCAAACTGATGGTCGGAGTCGGTAGGAGTTGGATTGGTTTCTTTGTGATTTAGATCCCAAACTCACCGTTTTTCTACTTGGAGAGCTGTCCCTTGAGATAGCTACGGCTGGTCTTGACTTTGGATTTCTAATTTGGCATAACCCGCACTTGATTAAGTATAGTTTCCCAAGCTTGAGCCGTCCACATAGCACATTAAAGTACACTTTCAGAAAATTATTGGATCTTAAGAACCAGATGGATGAGCATTTCTCTGATCTAATAGTGGAGCAAAAGGAGACACTGAAGAACCAGGCCAACCAGTTGATGAAGGTTAGTCTTTTGTAACATTCTGAACCTCCTTATGTACTTCATTTCACTTGTGAGGTTTGATCCCGTCTAAAACTTAGTTCATGGACAAAGATTGACAGAACCATATCCAGATCTGAGTGACTTGAGTTCTTGTTGGCAGTTAGTGTATCCAACTTTTAGTTTGATCCTTGCTATCACATTAAAAAGATATATAAATAATTGCAACTAGCTAGACATACTTTTTGCACAGCTGTAAGGGCTTTGAATTGAACATTGTGTAGTTTGCAAGGCATGCCTTGTGGCAATTTCCCCGCTCTTATTATCTTTCTCTGATGAATTGAACAGACACTTGAGAGCTGTGGCTGGGATGTTGCTGGCTGTCAAGGTGGTATATCAATGCTGGCGAAACCGGCAGCCTAGATTGGGAAACCGTTAAGGTGGACAGCTTCGAAGAGGAGCTCGACGGGTGCAACATCAGGGAGGCCATTCTTAGGTCCACTGGGCTTTGCATAAGCAGCAGCTCATGGACGGGGATACAAGACTACTGCCGGTTCAGCTTTGCTCTGGACAGTGGTGAATTCCAGCGGGCAATGGACTGCATAACTCGGTTCAAGGAGTTGGTTCTGTGAGGAGGCGATGCTCGGATGAAGGGTAACTAGCTCGGATGTTGGGTGGTTCCATAATGGAAGGAAAAGCCTCAAACAAACATACATAAGAAAGGATGTAATTGTTTTGTCGTGAATTTATGTATGATGGGCGATTGGTGAAAGGTTGTAGCCGTTGTTGAAAGTTCCAATAGCAGCAGCACTTGCATAGTTAGCGATATCACTTTGACTTGTTATGATGGCATACTAGCTAGCTAGCTAGTCTTAAATTCTGATATTCTTCTTGTTATGTAGGTTATTATATGTGACACAGCAAAATAATAATTTTTGGTTAGTACAAACGAACCCGATTAAAAGACTAGGCAGTGTGAATTGAGTTAAGAGACCCGCTTCGGTACAACCCCCTGCTAAAACGTATAATGGATAATATAGTCATTTCACAAGTCGTACTTACTTCTGTATGTATGGCGTGTAGTTGTATACGTACAGGAAGCCATCAGATTGGGCCGGCCCATGAAGATAGCATATAGCAGCGCTTCAAAAAATAAAACAGCTGTTGCCAGAGGTCGAGCTCAGAACCTTCGGAGTATGGCACACGTGGTACAACCATCTTGCCTAGCAACCTTTTTTACGTAAATGGCAGCGCGAAGACTTAAGGATAAGAACAACGCAGAGTTCGAACGTAAATATTTTTTTTGAAAACAAAACGTGATTTTTTGTGTGAATCCCAATCACTCTTCAAATTTTTGAACAAATATATAATAAACTGAAACATTTTTTTAAAACCATGAACAGATTTGGAATGCGAATAATTTTTAAAAGCAGAACATTTTTATAATTCCAAATTTCTATGGAAACAAAAACAACTGTTGGAACATAAATGTTTTTTGCAACTCCAGAAAAGAAATGGAAAAACAACAAACATTTTTGTAACAGAAGCATAAGACCATCATTTTTTGAAATTTTTGAAAAGAATATGACAATTTTAAGCAACTATTTCGAAATATGTCTTGCTTCTAAAAAAACTGAAATTTTCGAAAACTGTTGGATTTTAAAACATTATTTGATTTGTAATATTTTATTTACAATTTCCAACAAATGTTTTATTTTTTTGAAAAGGTATCTAAATTCTGCATTAGTGTTAGTTCTTAAGTATGTGCACTCCTCGTTTTGCACAAACATTAGTCAGCTTAACTGGTATGCCACTCACGGTTGTTGCAAGAGATCTGTGGTTAGATTCCTAGCTGGGTTTTATTTGTGATTTTTCACAGCATTAATGACTAATGATTGGTATGCCACTCACGGTCCTTGATGTTATTTTCTAAGATTTCACGTCATTGCCTTATACATCATTAGTTGGTTCAACTGGTGAGCCACTTAGGCTAGCTGCAAGAGGTCTGCGGTTCGAATCCTGGTATCTCCACTTGATTTGGTTTTGTTTTCAATTTTTCCATCCCGTGAAAGGCACGCTTAGCCATCACCATTGGCTAAAAAAACATAAAAAAGACTATTCTACCCTTTATTATGAAGAGGTATAAATAGATCTCCATCGTTAATGTGTTTAGGGGGGTTGTACCAAAGAAGAAGTGTTGAGTTAATACAAGCCATGCATCGACTAGTAGAGGCATGCAGTGCCCAATAACTTGGTTGGGGCAACCGATCGAAAACCGAAGCGAAACGTTTGTGACTGTGATTGAGTTTGAGAAGATCTCGCAAAAAAAGGGCTGCGATCTGCGCCGGCGCACCGGCCCAATCGTTGGGCCGATCAAGCCCTAGTCGTCAGATCCCTTCATCCCCAACCTCTTCCATCTTCAATCTCCCGCACGGAAAAGGGAGAGGCCCGCCTCGCACGCGTCGACGCCTCCGCACGGTTCAAAGCTTTCTCTGTCGAATGGTTGCAACTTCTCTGATTGTGCAGAGTTTGGTTGTAGCTTTCTCTCTCAAAAGTTGAAGCTTTTTTCCTCTATGGTAGAAGCTTTTCTGTAAACGATTGAAACTTTTTTCGCACATTCGATTCAAAGCTTTCTCTGTCGAACTGTTGCAACTTCTCTGATTGTGCAGAGTCCGGTTGTAGCTTTCTGTCTCAAAGGTTGAAGCTTCTTTCCTCTACGGTAGATGCTTTTCTGTAAACGATTGAAACTTTTTTCACACATTCGATTCAAAGTTTTCCCTGTCGAACGGTTGCAAATTCTCTGATTGTGCAGAGTTTGGTTGTAGCTTTCCGTCTCAAAGGTTGAAGCTTTTCTCCTTTATGGTAGAAGCTTTTCTGTAAACGATTGAAACTTTTTTCGCACATACAATTCAAAGCTTTCTCTGTCGAATGGTTGCAACTTCTCTGATTGTGTAGAGTCTGGTTGTAGCTTTCTCTCTCAAAGGTTGAAGCTTTTTTCCTCTACGGTAGAAGCTTTTTTGTAAACGATTGAAACTTTTTTCGCACATTCGGTTCAAAGCATTCTCTGTCGAACGGTTGCAACTTCTCTGATTGTGCAGAGTCTGGTTGTAGCTTTATGTCTCAAAGGTTGAAGGTTTTTTCCTCTACGGTAGAAGCTTTTCTATAAACGATTGAAACTTTTTTCGCACATTCGATTCAAAGCTTTCTCTGTCGAACGGTTGCAACTTGTT